CTCAAGTCATTAAGTGTGGAGACACATCGATATGTGTGCAGGTGCTTGTAGAAGAACAAGTACACTGAATGCGATCCAACACATAAGTTACAACATGAAAGTCTTTATTCACATGTCAAGCTGGAACCCATAAATTGCAATGGTGCAAACTAATCCCTAGACCTAAGGCATCATAGATTTTTTGTGGCTATGTTTTTAATATTTGAGGGCACTATATAGTCATGCTGAATTAGGCATATCTTAAAGGTGCTTGTTGGTAATTTTTAACAACAATGTTAAAACCTTGCAAGTGCACAAATCAAATGATAGTATAGTAAGCAAGTAATGGTCATTCCCACAAAGATTGTAATCTAAAGAGATGTTTATCAATGCTACGCAACGAAAACACAAGGACTTCCACACACACGCCAACACCAAGGGGGGTTTGATTTGATTTTGTGAATAAAACAAAACAAGGAAAAAAAAAATAAAACAGAATTTAAATTAGAGTTTAAGAGAAATTGGTTTAGAATCAATCAAGAACAATAACTAGGACTTACTATCCACCTCCAAACAATCAATCAATCCATAAACAGCGATAGATAATCAATTTCTAGCAAGCATATGATGACGACACTCACAACAAGATCATGACATTTGACTCGAGTTGTATGATTATCTCTTAAGTGTATGTAAAGTGTATGGCATTTACATCAATACGTGTATTCTTAATTGAAATCTAGTATGACATTTACTCAAAATAACAATCAAGAATCCATTAAGATAAAAGAGAATATGAGTGTCACAAAAACCCTAAAACATGGCATTTGTTATTAGGAATTCAAGAATCGGTTTCTCATAACTAGTTCTTAACCCAATTATTCGTTGCAAACAAGAACACATTCAATATGGCAATTGACCTATGTTCCACAAAAATTTAATTCCAATACATGCTTCGAAGTTAACTCAAAGAAACAAAATATCAGAATTCACATAACATAGATAAACCAAAATGATCATGCTTGTAGAAGCTGAAAAATCCATTCAAACTTGTTTATAAAATTGAAATCATGTCTAGGTATTCAAGATTAAGCCCTAACTAACAAGAAATTAGTTACTCATGTTCTTGGATGAACTCAAAAATAAATACATAAGAACTGAAAATTAAAAGAAGAAAGAAAAAGAAAGAACTCGTTGGTAGCTTTCTCCTCTTGTGCGGTTGATCTCCTTAGGACGTGAATCCTTTTTATCGGCGCTTTGGCTGGCATTTTATATCACTTATATCGAAGTTATAAACCCTAAAATTGACTGAGAAGTCGTCCAAAAGGTCTTGGTAAACTAGGAATCCAACTAGGAAAGTAAATATCACAATTCCTAACTCCATAAGGAAATACAGCTCAGCCCAATTGTCACATGATTTGGGGATCTTCGGCCTTTAGAAAAATCATTAAAAATATATTTTAGAAAGATAAATGTCTTATATTTCCAACCATATATAGCACGTAACTTGAAAAATTCTGGAAGGCTTCCGTTTCTTCACATTCACATAACATGTACGAAACTGTCATGTCTGCACGTGGGCTAACTTTACTTGTAATATTGTACCAATTGGCTCATTAGAAAATTCTAGAAAAATCACAGGTTGAACTTCAAGATGTTAGCTTTCATCTCCAATTGGCCTTGTGTTAAAATTCCTCCAAAAAGTTGATTTTCCCTTAAAAACCTTCTAAAAGTGCAGAAAAGCTGAAAAATAAAAAAGTAAAGTAATAAGCCCATTTTAAATCTAATTCTCTTACAAAACTTAAGTAAAAAGAGTACATAAATGAGTATATTTATGGACTTATCAGTGCTCATCATGATTCTCAATAGAGTTATGAAAGCAAATGAATGTACAATAAGGAATCTCTACTATCAGGAAATGAGAGAGAATACTCCAAGTTATGATTGGTCAAATCTCTCCAAGGAGTAGTAGATAAGACTTCAAAGAAGAAGTCTTCAAATCTTACCAGGATAATCATATAAAAGGAATGATTCACATTAGGATATTGACAATCGGATTCCATGTTCTAATAATGTGAATAATGAGTATTGATATAAGAGAATGATTCAATTGCACGGTCATTCCAATTTGAATATGTTCTTTCACAACATCTCATTTAGATTGAATAACCGTGACTTGTTGTTAGGCGACAACTTTAGTTTGTGGATGTCCTAAAAGGTTTCAATTAACCTTTATTAATAGGAAGAATTAAATTATGGAATTTAATTCGTATATCATCTATGAGGAGTTGAGTCAACCCACTACCTTGCTAAAGGGAACCTACGGATCTGCACACCCAAAGAATGTGATTAGAGTAAATGAGGAGAAGTGAAATGAGGAGACACAAGTCAATGGTTGATAATCAAATGTCAAAGTTAACGATCAAATGTCAAAGTCAATGGCCAAAAGTCAACATGTTGATCGGAGCAATTAATCAAAGTCAAATAGTTCAACTGGGTCAATTAAGTAAGACAATAATTATAATTCAATAGTTAAATTAATTATGGAATTAATATTGACATATTGAAATATTGGATTGGGCTTTTAAAAATGATTTAAAAGGAAAGGGACGAAACACCCCAAAAGGCTATTGGGCCAAGGGGATAAGAGGCATAAGATGACATGACCTATGGACCAAATTGGTGCCCCAAATACCCATCCAAAATTTGGCTACTAAGGGGAAGCTCTCCCTTTGCCTTTTGTGTGTCCTATATAGGCTTAGTATTGGAGAAAACCTAGCTAGAGTTTTTGGTTGCCTACTTTGGTTGATGAGTGATCATCTTTGTATCTCATCTTCCATAAACCAAAAATTGGTCAATCAACAAGTAGATTAGTATCCATACTTCGTGATTGCCTTCTCTTCATCTCTAAGAGCATTTAGTGTGGTGAGGTAGAGGACTCCAATCTTGGAGCCTTAAGGTGAAGGAGTCAAAATCAAAAGAAAGAAAAGGTCTTTCCAACAAAGGTGTTCATTCTTGAGAAATCAAGAAAAGGTCATCAATGGTAAAGATCTATCCTCTTTTCTCCTTTTCTATTTGTGTTCAAAGAGACTAGGTTAAGATACTTGTTTAAAATGGAAAAGGTTTAGGTCAACTAGTATAAACAAAATGAATCCGCCATTTGGAATATTTTTGTTGTATATGTTATAGCTAAAGTTCATTTCTTAAGCATTAGATGCATGTTTCCTTCACTTAAAATTATGAACATACTTTCTAGATACCAAATTTACATGTAGATGTCAAAGTCAGAATTTCTCCAAAAAGTCATAACAAATCAACAAGGAAAGCATTCCAAAAATGCCATCAAGCCTATTCATAGCAATTTGTGAATGCCCCCTATATATGTAAATTTCAACACCTATTCAAGAAAAAAAAGAAAAAAGAAAGAATAAGAAGAGTGAGGATGGGCACCACAATAGTTGTTGGGGCTTTGCCTCTTCCCAAGAGAGGTCCTAGGCTCGACCCCCCTCATCCGCATGTATGTGAGTTTATAGATATTTATCGACCCTTTCATTTGGAGAGGCCTTCAAAGAAAAAAAAAAAAAAAAAGGAAAAAAGAAGAAGAAGTCTTTGTTAGTTAATATAAAATAATTATTAGTATTTATTTTAATAATTAATTAAATTATATTGCAGTTTGTGGTATATCACATTATTTGGATATGAGGAACCGCAACCGCAACCGCAATTGCATATTGCAGTCAGTTCTATAAACCGTATGTTGCGGTCAGTTTTCGTGATAGGTCTGTTTAGATGCAGTAAAACCTCAGTCGGTATTTGTTGTTTTTCGGTCTAAGATGCCAACCCTAGAAAAAAGCATAGACAGGGAGAGCAACATAGAGTTAGACCAACCAAACCGTAGAGAAGAAATATTGCAACACATCTAGGCTTTTTCTTTTCTGGTTAAATATTAATATTTAATAGAGTGTTGCTAAATGAACCCTAAAATTAACTGAGTACATCCTACTACCAAAGTGTTTATTGAATTACTAATATACCCTAATATAAAATTACCAAAAAGAAAATGAAATTATTAAACAAATATAATTTTAATAAGTAGACACTACTAGCTCATCATATTTGAATAAACAAAAACAAAAAAACAGAAGTTTTCGTATTGCTTGGTGCCTAGACAAACAACGCAACAAGTACTAGAGAAGGCGCAAGGAAAGGCATCTCAATAGGGCTACTGACCTTACTCAACATAGCGAGCACTTGAGTCCTTTAGAAAACCTACATTTAGGGTTCTGTATTTGTGTTGAAAAGATTGTCAGTCCTCAAACTGTGAATCTGATGTACTTTTTATAAGACTCTTGACCTGATTTTGATTAATACCTAATTTATGAAGACATAATCAGATCATATCAATTTTATTGCATTTGATTCCAAGCAATTGCAAATCCTTGTCTGTTCTGATAGATATGTTCTTGGCTTATGTGTTTGCTATTTAAAGTTGAGTGTGCCACCAAACTGGCCAGATTTGCATATTTATTTATTGGGTTCAAAATATGAGATAAAAATAAATAGGAATTAATATAATGATTCACATGGGAAAAGCTTCGCATAATGAAAAAAAAAAAGGACAATGAGAACTAGTGATGCAGCCCAGAAAAGACAATAAAAAAATTTAAAAAAAAAAAAGAACTGACAAAGGATGAAATATTAAGAATAAAGAGTTACTTAAACCATGTAAAAAGATAAATCTAGTTTAGGATTGGTATTAGGGTATTGTGTGATAGAGTGTATTAGGGTATATTAGGGGTATTTTTGGTAGTTAAATAGGGTGTACTTAGTTAATTTTACATTTAAATTAAAATATTAGAGTATACTTAGATAATTGCGCGATTTTCAGAATTATCATAACTAATAAATAAAAATGAAATTTACTTATTGAAACCTAATCTCAACCTTTCAGTCCATTCTAATCTAATGGTTGAAAACTTGTGTCATAATTTATGCAAAAAAGATAATGCCATTGATCCGCCCATATGCATACTTGAAAATCTAAATAAGCTTTACTACAATTGCATGATGGTACATGATAGCAGTCAACATACTCCTATTACATAACTCATAGTCAAGCACAAGGTAAATTAGCCAAATTCCAAATCCAGCACCACACAAGTCTTAAACCAGACACAAGTAAAAAAAACGTAAAGCATAATATAGGTGCTCCCAGCTCATTCCTTAGCCATTTCCCTCTTAATCCATTTGAGCCTGGCTTTAGGATCTTTCAATTTACAAAAGATCTTCATCTTCTTTTCACATGAAACCAACCCTCTTACAAACCACCACATCTTGTCCTGATCATGTCTCTGATCATCTTCATCAAAAATTAATTGTTTAAGTTCCAAGAACACTTTCAGAATTGATGTTTCAGGAAGCCTCCTAGGAACCTTAGCCATTTCCCTCTTAATCCATTTGAGCTTGGCTTCAGGATCTTTCAATTTACAAAAGATCTTCATCTTCTTTTCACATGAAACCAACCCTTTTGCAAACCACCACATCTTGTCCTGATCATGTCTCTGATCATCTTTCAGATCATCTTCCTGGTCATCTTTCAGATCATATTCCTGATCATCTTCCTGATCATCTTCATCAAAAATTAATTGTTTAAGTTCCAAGATCACTTTCTGAATTGATGTTTCAGGAAGCCTACTAGGAAGTACTTCAACAATTCCTCCATCCTTGTCATCTTCCTTACCTTGTCTTCTCCTTTTCTTCATCCCAGATGGACTTTACGTACGTTGAGCAGCGAGTACACAAGATGAGAAAATTGAACAATAAGGTCGATTAGTAACTTGTTATATCATTCATCCATATATCAGAAAGATAGAAACAATAGCATATATAAAGATCACATTTGGAGAAAACTTGACGTCTACAGTCAAAAACCTTAATGGGCACCAAAATATGACTCCATTCACAATACAATAACTCAATGGGATATTTAGTCATATACCCATTCTTAGCACTAAAACTATAAATAAACCCTACACTATGTTTTAGGCTTTTTTATGAAGTTTTGGGGTTGGGTTTATTTTAAGAAATTAATGGCAGTTTTGTAATTTAAAAGAAGTTAAAAAGTCTTTTCGTTATGTTGTAAATGGGCTTTGGGTGTGTTTCTAAAGTCCATTTCATAGAGTTTTTTTTCATAATTTGGGCTCCTATATTGGGTATAATAGTGAATCCCCCTAAATCAAAGTAGAGTAACATATAGAATAATTACTTGTAGACATTTTCGAGTCTCTTTTTCAAGTGTCTGACGGAATAACCGGCAATCTCATCTACCCTTTCCCCCTTTAGATAGCAATGGAACGTCGGCTGCAGCAAAATGCAGACATCAGCAGAGTAATCTTTCCATTTTAAAATGAAATCAGGGCTAAAATATATTCACTCAGCTTGAACAAACTGCTTAGCCCATTTTCCAGGATAATCATAGCCTGTCTATACTTCTCTGAATTATTTATTTAGATATGGTAAGAAATACAAGTCAAATTTAGAATCAGTCTGAAAACAAAGGTCCAACACATGAGAAACTGCATAACTGAATTAAGTGGACATTTACATTAAAAAAGATAGAAGGATCGAATGCCAATGGGTTCCCACCACAGTGGTGGTGGATTCCCCCTTCACCCCATGGCACCCAGGATCGAAACCCAGTGGAGTTTCTTTCCTCCAATGTAACACAAAAAACTATATAAAAAAAGGATCAAATCATTTACCGTATCCTGAATTCCCAACTTGTCCAACATGGATCCAGAGATATTCTATAGACAGAATAAAAGTCAGGTCTACTAATTTAGAGGCATAACAAATAATATCATGATTCTTCTATGTGCAGCTGCATGGTGCATCATAATTAGAGTATGGAAAAAATTACTACATGGGCAAGCATTAAAGCATAGCTAATGAAAAATACATAAATTTAATCAGGTGCACGATTAAGTTATCTTTTACCCAGAACATCATGATCAGATAAGTAGACAAGCATGAGATAAAACCCACTATGCCCCAGAAATAGAAAAAGACAATTTTGATTACTTTTCAGTATCATGGACTGTCAAATATATTCACCAACAATATTTCTATTGTTATTATGAAAGTATAAGCAACATCTTCTCCGGAATCCCAACCACTTTAAGATGAAAGGCGAAGTGTAGAATAGTATAAACAATAGTGGTGTATTGATCTTATCTGTTTGATATAAGTAACCTTCTGATTGAAAAAAAAAAAAAATTAAGAGAAGGATCGAATCATTTTCCATATTGCGAGGAACTCTATACACATTCAATGTGGGTCCAGGGCCATTCTATAGACAATAAACGACATCAGCTATACTAAAATAAAGGCACAACAAAATATAATATCATGATTGGAAAACAACTTAATGCATGACATGAGCAAGCGATTAATGCATAGCTAATGAAACCCTCTACGCCAGTTTCACCCAGAACAAAAAGCTCAGACAAGCATACAAGCATAGGATAAAACCCCCTATGCCTAGTTTCACTAGACATTTTTATGTCATTTCAACTGTTCAGGGAAACTCCAAGAAGAAAATTTAATTTCTTCTCAGTATCATGGACTGTCAAAATCTATTCACCAACAATATTTCCCAACCACATTCTATGCATCCAGTCTAGATGCAATGTGAAGTGTAGTACAGCCTAAACTATATTTGGAATGTAAAAGGTCTAAAATTGTTAACACTTTAGATTTGTCAGGATTTGCGGGACTATATTTTGTATTGTTGTCTGTGGGGACTCCTTGTCTATAGTGATGTATTCATACTATCAATTTGATAAAAGTAACTTCCTCTCTATATCTAATCAATAAAAGGAGAAATATTCTTTATTTCAAAGACAATGAATTAGTTCACAAAATTAATGATTTTCACATCTTGTTCAATTGTTTTCCCTTAACTTATGCACCAACTTTTTAATCATTAAATCCAAATTACAGGTTCCTTTATAAGCCAAACTTATCCCTCAGCCCAAACAATCTGAATATTGTTGTGGTATATGAAACAGCATAGCATGCTGCACAAGAAACCAATTCATAAGAGAAATACTAATTACCCTAAACACTTGCATTGTTTTGACCTAAAAAGAGAAATAAAAAATTGATCCAAGTTCACCATATTAAAATTACACACCTGATCCGTGTAAACCTTAAACATTGTTATATGTGGGAATTGCTCACGCAACTCATCAAAGATTGGAGTTATCCACTGATAGGCTGCACAAGAAGTATACCAAAAAAGAGCACTTCACTGCAAAGGACTTGATTGATGAAAGCAAATTTACACTTAAAAATGAAAGTAAATTCATTGATTAGAAGTTACAACTTACTAGTCCGGCACCAGCGTGCTGTGTAGAAGAAAACAGCAGACATACGTTTATCTATCGCAAGGAATTAGAAAAACTAAAATTAAAAATGCACAACAAAACTTAATTTGGTATTTCGAAAATTTGTAAAATTAATAGGAGGATGAGGTTGGTGGAGAAACTGGCATACCTTTAACTTTATCAAGTGCATCGTAACAGATGATGAGGCTATTAATGACGAATAGGTTTGAGCGACCTGAAAGTAAAATATTTGAAACTGAATCTGAATCTGAGAGTAGGGTTGCGGAGTGGTCATGTCCCTGTCGCAGAGATTGAAAGAGTTGGGTCGGAGCGAAACGGCTATCCACTCTAATCGGTGAAGATGATGCGGTATTTGGTACTGAAGTTAGGTTTTGGATGGGTGTGAAGATGATGAAGAAAACCTGCAGCACACGGGTGGTTGCGATTGCCAAGCAATTGGCGTATCAAAACCACTGATTAGCCCCTTTGGCAAGGGGAGCCTAGGCAGCCACCATTCACTATTTACGTTCACTATTTACGTAAATAGTGGCTGTCCTATCTCTCCCAGTAAATGGGTGTTTCCAGCAGTTAGCTCCTTGTCATGACAAATACTATTCATTTTTTTGTTTTTTTCACAACTTTGTTTATTTAAACAATTAATTTTGATAATATTTTCGGATAAGATTTTTGGGTTCTTACGTGTCAATACTATTCATATCGGATAAGATTTTCGGTTTCAAATTTCAAATAAATTTCAAATACATTTCAAAATTCAAATTTGAGATAAATTCAAATTTTGAATTTCAGATACATTTCGAAATTCAAATTCTAGATAAATTTCTAATTCCAAATTTCATTTGAATTTCAAATTTCAGATAAGATTTTCATCCTCTAAAATTGCGCCACGTGTCATCTCTATCTGTCTAAATTTTTCTATAAAACCAGAGGCTCAGCTCATACCTCCCACACCATATCTTCTCTGCATCTTCATTTCTCATATTTTAGATTTCATTTCTCAGATTTTAGATTTCATTCTCCATTCTCAATGTCAGACATGGAAGATGTTTTGGATATGCAAGAGCGAGAAAAGCGAGCAAGAATGCGCAGAAGAGCTGCAAGCAAAAGGGCGTAGAGAGAACTAGATGAGCAACTTGGTGTGGCCGTTGCTTTGCTGGAGGAAGAAAACCAGAGCCGCTGTGGTTCACGAGAAGGCCGGGCATCGAATGTGGACAGACATAGACATTCTCGGGGTAAGAATCTTCTGGAAGATTATTTTATCCCACAATCTCTGTACTCTGATGTTCATTTTCGAGCAAGATATAGAATGCAACCCCATTTGTTCAATAAAGTCATGCATGATATTTGCAATTATGATGACTACTTTGTTCAAAAGAAAAATTGTGCTGGAGATTTGGGGCTGCTTCCCCGAGCAAAAGTTAATAGCTGTGATATGAATGTTGGAGTATGGGTCATCTGCTGATCAGGTGGATGAGATTGCTCGGATGGGAAAGTCCACTATTTTGGAGAGCTTGGTGTGATTTTGTGATGCAGTGGAAAATCTGTACACCAGGGACTACCTGCACAGACCTACGCCCAGGGACCTGCAAAGGCTTCTACAAAAAACTGAGTCTCGTGAATTTCCTGGAATGATTGGTAGCATTGACTGCATGCACTGGCAATGGAAAAATTGTCCATCTGCTTGGCAAGGGGATTATGGTAATCGGAAAGGGCAGAAAAGCATCATCATCGAAGCAGTTGCTGGTTTTGATACCTGGGTTTGGCACGCCTTCTTTGGAGTTGTCGGCTCTCAAAATGATTTGAACATCCTGAGTCAATCCCCGGTGTTCAATGATATTTTGAGAGGTGAATGCCCAAATATTACATATCAAGTCAATAATACCGTCTATCAAAACGAGTATTATCTAGCTGATGGTATCTACCCGAGATGGACAATATTTGTGAAATCAATTCCACATCCCCGATCCCAGAAGGAAAAATTTGTTGCTGCCTATCAAGAGGGGTACAGAAAAGATGTGGAGAGGTGCTTTGGTATCCTTCAAGCTCGGTGGGCTATTATCAGGGGCGCGGCGCGTCTATTTGACGAGGAGGTGCTCAGAAGTATAATGATGACTTGTATCATCCTCCACAACATGATTGTGGAAGATGAATATGATTACGATGTTGATGAAGTGTATGAACCAGATCCCATGAACACGACCTTAACACGAATTTATGAAAAACCTATGGGGCCAAATGGAGAACCAGTGCAGCATGATCCATTGGTTAGAGATGGTACTTTCATGCATCGTATGATTGAGCGCTACACGGAGATGCAATCGTCGTATATTCATGAACACCGTCAAGTTGACTTGATGGAGCATTAGTGAGTAGTGAAAAGCAATGAAGGTCAATGAAATCAAGTGGGTGGTGAAAATCAATGAAGGTCAATGAGATTGGTGCATTTTTTTATGCTTTTGTTGTGGTTTGTTTATTTTTTATGCTTTGGTTATAGTTTGCTTTTTATGTATGGAATGTTTTGAATAAAAAGGAATTTTGTTGAATATTTTCCTCATTCACTACAAGAAAATCAATACAACTCATAAAATAAAATATATGAATTACCACTAATTTTTTAAACAAAAAAAAAATACAATGAAATGAAAGGCAAGCAAACTAATTTAATGGTACAATGAAATGAAAGGCAAACAAACTAACTTAATTGTTTTGATCATTTAACCAATCCGTGTTGCTAGGTCCATCGTCACGAAAAAGTCTTCGTCTCATAACATCCCTTCGTTCTAGCTTCCAATATTGTTTTGTTT